TCTGCGGCTCTGCTGCTTGCTTTCGCCATCACCATGATGGGGGGCCACATGAGCCCCACAATCTCGTCTGCTCCATCAAGGTTAGCGTTCCACATTATAAAAGTAACCCGGAACGGCGTGCCCATGCATATACCATCCATCCAATGAATACCTAGACACTGTCGCTTATCATCAAAAGTTCATCCATCGAATGCCGTAGGTGCCAGCGCTCCTCACCTACGGCAAGGCAAGTCTTGCAACGTAGACCATAGTGTTTTTCGACTCTGCCTCACACCGGTTAACTACATGTTCCTGTGTATCTGCGTGCATGTACCGTGTAGTCCTCCATCTTGCTTGCTTCAGCTCATCGTCGAGAGTCCCGCTAGCCACAACACAGCCGCGAAGTCAATACTGACGCGTCTGCGACATCCTCACGCTTCAAATCTGAAGCCAACTATCCCCGCAAAAGACCTTGCGACAGTCATCGTAAGCCGAAGCCAGATAACGTACACGAAGACTGATTTGCTCAGATTTCACGAAGCGGGATGGAATTTTCGAGGCCTACGTCCTTGGTCCCACCAGAATGCAGGGTGTTGCCTTGTACATAGCAGATCTGCCGAGGAACGGGGAGTGTCATCTGTTTGCCTGCGCAAGGTGTCACATGTACGCCGTGTATGTTGTATCAATACTAATTTCCGACAGTCCGCTTGGACGACGACTCGATCATTGTGGGCGCTACAAACGCTTGCACGGGACGATACTGCTTCCACAACCGATGCGTGGCCATTATGTGCCGGGTCCCCGATTACCTACCTGGTATCAGCATAGATGCCAATGAACGGTGGCCACGCTATCGGTATTGGCCCGAAGACACAAAGCGCTCATTGCGCCCTCTCACGAAACACGAGGCACAAGGCATTGCCGGCAAGCGCTTAGTGAAGGCTGCTAAGACGCGTCCTAACCTTCATATTCCTAAAGACCGGTGCGCCTCAATGCATGCCCTTTTGGTCGAAAGATATGATGCCATTACGTTCTTTTCGTCACCTGATGCACCAGGGCCCAAACACATCAAGACATGCGATTGGTCAAGTAACCAATCCCATTACCACCAACAACAATATCTTTGCCTTGGGTCTTCGCCAGCTGGTGCGGCAGAACAATAAGTCCTTCCTGGTCCGGTCAGGCATCGCTCAGGGAATAATCCAATTGTAGGTAGACGCGAATTTCACAGCGACCATTGTTGAAGTCGTTTCGTAATACCAAGAAGCACTGCGCATACGACTCTCAACCGATCAAGCGCACTATCATTGTGCTATGAGCTGTTGATCTAGGTGTATGCAATCGGGCAAACCATGATAGCGACCTGAAACACTCATATCCTCTCCCCATACGCATGTTGGCTGACCGTACCTAGGTCAAATAGAGCACGAACCAGCATGGTCATCATCTCGCAACGGAAAACCAATTACGGTCAGGGAATTTTGATCACAAGCCATCATCACCAAGCCAGCTCCGGCATTGCCGCTGGCTGTCGTAAACTAAGCGGTATGTGCTACACCAGATCAGGCGTAGTTGCTCCTGCGCTGTCGTCTGAACATGGCCGTTACAGAAAGCATGGCGTTTTCTCTGGACTAAATCATGTCGTGTATCGACACGCGAAGCGTCTTGAAGGGACTACTCAGCATCGTGTGCTATACACTAAAGATCTGCTGATTGTGGGGTGCAAGACTACCCTCGAATGAGGACTAAATAGGCATCTCGATGGCCGCTCAATCTGCGCATAGTCAGCATGCGAAAGAAAAGCCCATATGTTCAACCAGTTGAAAATCATGGTGTTGCACACAGTCTGTTGCCTGACAAGCACAATGCCTTCTGGGCTTCGTTTCAATAAGTGTATACGCGCATTCATTATAGCTTTCAAAGGGAGTGGTACGGTTTGATGAGGGGAAACTGTATGAGCAGGCCGATCACAGGGATGTTTCATCGTTTCTGGTGTTCAATTATGCGCCCTGATCACCCCGGATTACTGGAACCTTTTCTTGTGCACGCAACACCGAGTCTAGCAACTACATATGATTAAATTTGACGCGTTTCTACGCTACGTGTGCCATCTCTGTACGTACTAATCGATGATGAACTAGGTGAACAGCTATGCAGCTGGAATCTACAGGAGAAGTCCCAGCCACGGCCTATTCCACATAGCAGAGGCGTGTTATGTGATAGTGATGGAGCGGCTACATCGCTCCCAGCGTAGGGCAACAGTCATACAGAGCCCAGAGAACTGGGCCATCCTCGGACATGGTACGCAAGGCGGGGTAATCTGCCTACGGCAGTCCCGCGGCCCAACAACCCTCATACCCATACCGCTTATATCTGTGTTTACCGGAGCCTACCAAGTAGCAACCCATATCATGACATAATTTGTGAGCCATTGAGGCCTCTTGTTCATTGAAAGACTATTTTTCAGCCGTCGACTGCGATGCATGAGATGACGAAGTGGGCAGTCCAAGTGTATCAAGAGTCTATCAAAGGCCAATGAGCAGTTCTAGAAGTCTAGAAGGGCAACTGGAACAAGGCTGACCCAGAAATGAGTCGAAGACGCGAAGAGGGCTGAATCAGGGCCACGTTCTCACACCTGTGTATTCCTCAAGCAATAGCCCTTGCGACGCCGTTTCTCATAGAGTAACCCGGGAACATCAATCCACTTAAATTTGCCAATCCCATTTGAGTGTCCAAGAATACTGTGAAGACATGTCAAAGACAGTATACGGGGTTAGAAGCCGATGCCTACTAATTACGAGTGCGGATCGATTACCTAGGTACCTCAAAGACTAGAGCCCCACCCCGCGATGGAGCCTTGTTCTCACAAGGTCCAGAGGTCGCATATGTCGTTGTTTCTGTTGCTCGCCGGAAGGCTCCCAATCAGTTCGCAATACTTACGGACTATATTATGTGCCTGCGGGCCGATACACCTTGCATTCTGTGCCCTGCATGTCAGCCCTCAAGCCCAGTGAAGGACAAAGTGTAGATACCCTACCATAACCTGCTACTACCGGCTTGTAGCGCACTACATTGGTCGGCTGCACCCGATGCTAGTCCGCGAGGTGCAGTATGCCGTACCCTACCTTGATTCAAGAAGCAGGTAATCGAAAGATGGTACAGTCACAAAGTAAGCTTGGTTTGATCACGCAACCTCGCACGACCTCAGGCGCGGACTTCTTGATGGATAGAATAGCGTATCGCTGATCAATGAACCCGAGGCGCGAGGGAGTGGGCCGCTTGGAATCGACTTTGGGGCAACATCGTGTATACAGATGTTGATAAGACGTCGCAGTTCCTCTGGTCTATATTAGCTCTCCGGATACAGTCTGATGACGGACCCCACGGTGGTGCACACCTAGGCAGCCCTAAGCTGCATTATCACCTGGATCTCCTACTTCTGAAGGTTCCTTCTGACTGATTTACCAGGGAACACCCATGGACTAAATTAAAACGAGTAAAACGAGAAGGCGACGTCGTAGCGATCGCGAAACCAGAGGTTATCGACACAAGTTGTAAGCACTAGCGTTGGGGGCTAGAAGGAGTGGTGTATACATGGCAAGGCTGAAGGACTTCGTTGTCTGTAAAGTGCGCACATATTTAGGTAGCTAAGCTATAACCTTGACTTAGAACTCGCCTTACTATGCAGAAGCAGTGGTTCGCATTGAGGCAAGCTAGGTTATTATCACATATGTCCCGAGGTCGCCTTGTGATAAGACCCTCATCCCGCATGAACTATGGATGACCTTCATATCGTGATCTAAGATGGATCTGAGCTGCCGAGATATTTCACCCGCTGACTTTGACCGGGATGAAGCAAGTCAGTGTTGCCTTCGGTTACGCACGGTCTTTCGGAGCAAACCCCGAAACGCAGAAAGAAGCATATAAAAGGCGGCGCGAGCATGGCTACAGACGGCTGAAGAACATATCAGGCCCACTGTTTGCCGGAAAGATCACCGATCAGTTGCAGGCAACAATGCCCAACCGAGTGACATCTGACTGATGCTTACCGGGCTGAAGGCTGAGATCAGACTGGTATGCAGTGTTAAAGGTGAGTGATAACGACGGACGACACTACAGTCCTTATTTCGACGCCTCCATGCGCAGGAAGGGACTTACCAGACATGTGGTGTTCGCCGGAAGGCACTTAGGTACCTGAGAAAGGGGCCGGAACAGGCCTAAAGTTCAGACACTTCGACGTGAAACTGGAGCTAACCTTGGAAGCTTCCTCAGACGACCTCGGGGTTAAGACTTTTGTGCTATAACCCTCAGAGAACGATAGGCCCCCTATGGCTTCTGACGAAGTTGACACGCGATGGTTTTACAGGAAATAAGCTCCACGTCGCTTGAGTTCCTGCATTTGCAGTACCTCTTGCTGCGACCGATGCTACCAGAGCATCACAATTGTCTTGAGGTCGGTCACGCATCGCCGAATTCGATCTCTGGTCTCTTGTCGCTTGAAACGTTGGTTGCGATTGGAGTCTTGCAGGGTCTTTGGTATAAAGTACCTAGGTCCAAGAACTCATTAGCCGAAGGCCAAAATTTATCAGTGAATTAGGAGATGCATATAAGAGGAATGTTGGAACGGACGTATTAGTGTACAACCTGGAAACTCGAGCACATGGCATGATATTGGTTCGTCGAGAGTCGCACAGCGCGCAGCAATGCCGCGGAAACGGTGGTGCGATTCCAATGACATCATCGGCGTGCGACAAATGGACCCCAGGAGGCGAACTTTCAAGTTCGGGCTTGAAAACTCCACGGAAAAGAGCTTTGGACGTTACAAAGGCGGCTGCACATGGCGCATATATCCTGTACACATTATTGACACTCGGAGCTTGTGAGACGACATCGCGGCCGCACAGGTATCCGGCGAGGCGCCAAAGTACCTAGGTACTTCCTTGCCGGTCTGCAGGGTTCTCCGTGGGCGGTGCGACCAGCGTGGAGGGCACCATCGACAACCACAAAAGCCATCGCAAGCCATGTCATTATCAGAACTCACCGAGCAGCAACGAGCGACTATCGGCGATCGCGCGCGAGTATGGGAAGTCCGACGCTTCTGCCAGGTGCTGCCATCTGTCGTTAAATACGTGCGTGGTTCGGACGCTGGCCTCACGAGCAGGCCATTGGAGCCACACGGCAGATACGTCAAGAATGAACCAGACGGCGCGCTTGCTGCGTTGCTCCGTTGCGTCATCCATCAAACGGGCGCTGATCTGGCCATGGTCAGCTTGCTAGACGACCACACGCAATACTTCATCTCGGGGGCCAGTCGGGCCAACGCAGATGAAGCCAAGGTCACCTTGGGTGAGTGGAATCAACAGCATGGCGGACATACGTCGTATTCTAGCAGTGTCTAATTGGCACAGAAGACTCAACGCGATGGTACGGATGCGAGTCGGTAACTCATCACGGTGGTCTGTGCGAGCGTACCATCACGCGGCAGAATGAGCCAGGCGGGAGCATGGCACTCTACGAAGAGCTTGATATGGCTGAATTGGAGAGAACCAAACATCTCCCATTTGTTCAGGGTGATATTGCCAAGTTCAGACATTATGCTGGTGTTCCTTTGAACCCCTATGGAGGACCAAACATTGGCACTGTCTTCACGTTCAGCTCAACGCCGTCGCAGGGTGGGCTCTCGGACGCCCACCGTTCGTACTTGTTTGAGACAGCGTCACACATTATTCGTCATCTGGAACAAGCAGTAGAAGCACTGGAGGGTAAGCGTGTGCTCAAGTTCAACCAAGGTGTGGCTTCTCTACTCAAGATGGGTACGAGCGCAGGACTGGCGGCTCAGCCTGCTCACAAGAATCTTTCATCAGGCGGCCATACTGAACATGAAGTTCTGGTGTCAAACCTCTATCCCGCTGCAGCTCTGCAGCTGTACCATCTTTCAGCTACATTGCTCTACGATACTTTCGAATTTGACGGAGTTCGCATCCAAGAGTTGGGCTCCTCGAGCAACAAGAACCCCATCTGGAACGGCTCCAACGTGCTAGCCGAGCATCTCGGACCAAAAGCGCACAGGCCTCAAGAACTAAGCCACAGTCTGACAAGCAGATTGCTTGAATTATTTCCACATGGGGCTGTGTTCCAATTACTCAATGACACTAGCGACATCGTTGTTGCTACGAGCGCAGACGACGTCGCTTTAGTTGAAGATACCCTCATACTCAAGGAGCTTTCGAAAACCTTCCTGCGGGCTGAGCAGATCGTCTTGATGCCACTGTGGGATGCGTTTCACGAACGTAATATCGGTGCGGTCCTCGGGTTCGCCGAGAATCAGTCAAGAGTCTATCTCGGCTCGACGGATCTTGCTTCCATTTCAGCATTCTGCACCACGATAATGACGCAAGTGCGGCGTCTCGAAGCTCAAGCTATAGACAAGATTAAATCAGACTTTCTCGGATCGATCTCACATGAAATGCGGACACCTCTTCATGGCATACTATCAAGCCTTGAGCTTTTAGCGGACACACCACACAACGCACACCAACGCGACCTGCTGGAGACGGCAAGATACAGCGGCTTGTCATTGCTCGATACTATTGAGCGCGTTCTATATTTCAGCAACATCAGTTCCGGGTCGCAAAGTGCACCTCTACCAAGATCAGACTCATCGAACGATGGGCTTCTCCTTTCGTCAAGTCTTGCACCCCATCATTCGGCAGCTTCCTCGCAAGACAAGGATACCGTAAAGCTGATGGATACTTGTGAGGACATCATTCACAGTGAAGTTCACAGGTATCGCGTCAAAAAGGCTGTCCAGCCTGATTCTTCGATGCACAGTAAGTAAACTGGTGGAGACGGTCCAAGTCCGGTCAGAGCTCATGGAAAAAAGGCCTTGTCTATCATCCCATCATAACTTTCGACACGAATGCCAATCGGTCATGCCGTCTGGTAGCCGTCGCTAGCTTTCGAGCGATCTTGACAAATCTTATAGTAAGTTGTACAGATACAAAAAGCGCATGCATGAGCCGTACTGACGTAAGAGAGAATAATGCCTTGAAGTTTGGGGAACCGACAAACTGCATTCGAGTTTCACTGAATGTCACGGACGGTACTACCAAAATATCTTGTACAGACGGCGGTAAAGGCATCTCTTCCGACTTCATCCGCCATTCAATCTTTGACCCATTTTCTCAGGAGGATCCCATCGCAGAAGGTACTGGCCTTGGACTTTCCATTGTCAAGCAAACAGTCACTATGCTGAGTGGTGATGTGCAGATTGAGTCAAACAAGAAAGAAGGCTCTACATTCACTGTCACACTCCCATCGAGTCAGGCACTTTATGAGGCTCCAGAAGAGGCATCAGAGAGCTCAAATTTGCAGGCTGGTACTGCTGAGCTACACCAGCTTGACATGAGCCTCTTTACACCGACGCGCTGGAGATCAGGAGACTCTTTACGAGACCAGCGCTGTACTGATTTATTGTTGGGCTCCCTTGCGAAGAGTCTAAGCCGGTGGTTCCACATTCGGGTCATTCCTTGGGAAAGTGCAAGCAGAGCCTCGCCGTGGCGCTTGCTTGTTGTTTTGGAGGAGGACGAAGACAGTGCACTGCGGGCTTGCGGTGGCGCATCTGACGACTACGAGCGCATCCGTCTCTGCCCTGATGTACAGACCGCTCCCAGTCAGTACTCAACGCCTTTGAAGGGTGTCGCGACAATTGCGGGTGCGGTGACTAGTTCAAAAATCCAGGATGCGCTGGCGCACTTGTATCCTAGCCAAGTCCCCCCCTCTGAGCTTCGCCACAACTCCGACCAGGAATCAGTCGCGAAAATCTATGATCAGCAACAGCCAGTAGAAGGGAGCCGCAGCCAATTACGCGGAGACGCAACCGACGAATGTCGTGCTGCGCCAACAGCATTGCTGTCCCGGTTAGAACTCGAGAGGAGCCCCCAATTAGACGGCGAGGAAAGCGGTGGGCAGCCACTGGCAATGCCAGCCGCCAGCCCAGCGGTCACTCCAGAGATGAACATGGCAGCAAGGTCTAATGGAGCCCAACCCGACCACCGAGACGTACAAGCGCATACTGAGCAAGCAAAAGAGACGGCAGTCTGTACATCACCAGAGGCAGCTGTGGCAGAGCCTAGGCTGCTGCTGGTAGACGATAACGCTGTAAACCTCAAGGTACTTGCCATGTATGCAAAAAAGTGTAGCAAGGCAGGTGCAACACCTGTCGGCGGTGGCCAAGAGGCCATCGATGCCTTCAAGAACGCCAACGGGTCCAGCGACGACACGGCTCCGCAACCTTTCGATCTCATTTTCCTCGACCTCTCTATGCCCGAGGTCTCGGGCTTCGAGGTTGCGAGGGAGATACGGAAGACGGAAGCGCGGTCAGGGTGTAAGAGGACGTACATATGCGCACTCACCGGGCTGGTGAGCGAAAAAGACCGCAATGCTGCGTATGCTTCGGGTGTAGATAACTACCTTGTTCGACCAACGAGGCTGCAGGACTTGCAGGGCGTCATTGAGATGTGGCGGGATAAATCAAGCGAGAAATGAAAGCTACCGTGCTGCACAGATGATGCAAGACGCAACAAGTGTCCGGCTGTGGCCAACGAAAGGGAAGCGCTAGCTGCGGCGGAGGCTCAGTGCACCCGAGAGGCCGATGCGTGGGATGTGATAATTCACTATCGCAACGTCATGACGCGAGCACTCTGTTGTTGGTAAGCTGCCGTCCGCGCTTGCACCCGACGCCGAAGATGATTACAGTCGCGCTCGTTAGCCTGGCCGTCGACTTGTAGCCATGCGCGCGGCCCCCTAGCCCAGACACGACGCTACGCAACCCCGGATCTCGACGCCCACGACGACGCCAGCTCAACCACACACAGCCCTCGCCATGGCCTCTAACACCGACGCCGCCTTCGTCGAGGACACCGACATCGAGCAGCAGCTGAGGGCGCGCGCCCATGGCTCCAAGACGCCCAAGACACCGGGCCCCGACAGCGACGACGAGGACGCGCCGCTGCTGGGTGCCTCGCCGGCTGCCAGCGGACACGAGCAATGGGCTGGCGATGCCGACTTTCGCGGCCTTCCCTGGTGGAAGCGCCCTTCGGTACGCCCCCGCAGCCCCTCGCGTCGAGGGCGCATCGACTGACGGCAGCAGATATTCTGGCTCCTGCCTCCCTTCCTGCTCTTCACCATCGCGTTTGGCGGCATCATCGTGCCCAAGATCAACCTGATCATGGACCTCGTCTGCGAGGAGTACTACGCGACCCTCGAGACCGACCCCATATCCTCTCCCATGGACCCGGGCCAGGACCGATGCCAGAACGACGCCGTGTCCTCGCGCTCCTCCCTCTTCCTCCTGTACGCCAGCTTGTGCTCCGGCATACTCTCCGCCATCATCAGCCCAAAGATTGGCGCCCTCTCGGATCGGTACGGGCGCAAGAAGTTCATGATAGCCAACACCTGCGGCGCCCTCTTTGGCGAGGTCCTCACAATCCTGGCCGCCAAATTCCCCGACACGGTGCACGTCAACTGGATACTCGTTGGCTACTGCTTGGAGGGCGTATCGGGATCCTTCATCGTCGGCATGGCATGCGCCCACTCATATGCCTCCGACTGCGTTGCACCACAGAAGCGGAACGTCGCCTTTTCCTACTTCCACGCTTGCTTGTTTGGCGGCATCGCCATCGGACCCGCGCTGGCAGGCTACATCATCAATGCGCGCCAGAAGTACGTTGGCAAGACCGAAGCCGTTTTGCTCATCTTCTACATGGCCCTTGGTGCCCACTTGATCTTCATTGCATTCCTTGCCTTCCTTGTCCCCGAATCGCTCAGCAAAGCACGCCAGGAAGCCGCACGTGAGAAGCGCAGAGAGGAAGTGGAACGACAGGGTCCCGCCGGCGACTTCATCAACCAGCTACGCTCTATCAACCTGTTTGGCCCGCTGAAGATTCTCTGGCCGACTGGACCTGGCACCTCGTCGGCTTTGCGCTGGAACCTGCTTCTGTTGGCCGCTACCGATACCATCATGTTTGGTGTCGCAATGGGTGCCATGAGCGTTGTCCTCGTCTACACGCGCCGCCAATTTGATTGGCATGAGCTAGAAAGCGGCCGCTTTACCACTATCGTGAACAGCTCGCGTGTTTTTGCTCTTCTAGTCATTCTGCCGATTCTGACCCGCATCTTCCGCGGGAAGAATGGGGCTGCCCGCATGCGCAGTTCAGGTTCTGACCTATTCGACCTTTCCATTATCCGTGCAGCCATCTTCTTCGACATGGCTGGCTTCCTCGGATATGCCCTTGTCCGCAAAGGCGAGCTCTTCGCACTCTCTGGCGCTATTGCTGCCATTGGCGGTATCGGTTCGCCCACTCTTGGCGCTGCATTGACCAAACATGTGCCGCAAGATCAGGTCGGTCAACTGTTAGGTGCCACGGGCTTACTTCATGCTGTTGCACGTGTGATGGGGCCCACCATCTTCAACGGTATCTACAGTGCCACTGTCGGCGCGTACAGACAAACCGTTTTCGTATGTCTTGCAGCGACTTTCGGGACTGCGTTCCTGTGCAGTTGGTTCATTCGTCCACATGGTGAGTGCTCAACCACACCTACATACCAGGCTGATTCTGACACGTTACAGTATATACAGACGGAGATGACAAACGCGTTACACGATCAGATGAACAAGAAGCATAGCTTGCTTCTCTTCATGCTGGCGCTTCAGTCGCACTTCTTTCGGATCCTTAGATTTTCTGGACAGCAATATCCATTTTTCGCGCACGCATATGTACAGACAGCGATGGTGTTTGGATTGGCATTTTGAAACCGCCGGGTTGTCGTTAGGCTGCATATCTGTATACTTTATGTTAACGTAACGTTGAACACTTGTTCTAGCGCATATTGCACCTCGCATCGTGAGACCTTTGCCCACGGCTTGTTATCGACCAACATGTGCGTTGCTGGTGCCGCCGTATGAAAGGGTACGTCGAGACTTCAGTGTGTGCCACTCTGCCAAACTCAGCGCTGATGGGAGCCATCTTCTGAGCTCATCGGCCCAGGGAACAGCCAACACGACTTTGCGAAATTGGAGGCAACAAATCTAGGTGTTGTTTGCGTGAAATATCTGCAGTAGCTGCCTAGGGAGTACAAGACAACGCGGAGAAGCTGTGGTGGTGGGCGCCGCAGCAGAACGAGGCTGACTAACGAACCTCGGGCCGTCAGGTACGTCAGCTTCCACGTTGCATCTTCCCGTGCCAATTGGCCATCGCGCGACCACTACAGCGTCTCCCTTTTTGTATTGCACACCTTTCAATCCGCCGCCAGTTCCGGTCTCAGCGGTCGCGATCCCGACTCAATGTCAACAGCATTCCGGTAGCACCATCACTGGACAAGCCCTCGTCAGGGCCCCGCAACCGCCATGTCAAAAGAGAACCGCGCTTTCGATACCCAGAGATTGGGCGCAGGCTACGGTTTCGAGTCGCACCCGAAGCATGCTATTGAAATGCCCCCAACATGGGTGCTTCTCGTAGGCTTGGGCTTTCTGCTATGCGCAATGGGCTTTTGGGTACGGACACATGCGCCTACATGACAACGTGCATGCGACTAATGACCATGAGTGACAGCTTTATATAGCATTGAACCTCCTCGCGCCCACTCCACGACTGCCACGGCGTTCCGAGAAACAATACACGACGATACTACCCGACGGTGCACGAAGCGACCCAAAAGAACTTCCGTGCTGGCTGGACAAATGGGCAGCAGAGAAGGAAGCCGCCAAGAAACAAGCTGCGAAGGAGCCGGGAAGCAAAGTCGTCATACCGCCACAAATGCCCATCGAAGAACCGGAGCTCTTCATGAGCGTCGTGGTCCCCGCATACAACGAGGAGGAGCGGCTGGAAGGCATGTTGGAGGAGGCTGTCGACTACCTGGAGAACCAATACGGTGATGCGCATGCTGGCGGCAAGGGTGAAAAGAGCCAGAGAGGATGGGAGATACTCGTTGTTAGCGATGGAAGCACTGACGGCACCGTCGACAAAGCGCTGGAGTTTGCAAAGGAGCACCAACTCGCCCAACACCCCAAGTCGAAGCCAGGGCCGTGGTCGAAGAACGGCGACGCCAGGGCCGCGCACTCAACACACATCCCACACGGCAGTATTCGCGTCGTCACGCTCGAAGAGAACAGAGGCAAAGGCGGCGCAGTCACGCACGGCATGCGACATGTTCGAGGCCAGTACATTGTCTTCGCCGACGCGGATGGCGCGAGTCGGTTCTCGGACCTAGGGGCTCTCGTTGAAGGCTGCCAGAGCATCGAGGACAAGCATGGGCGCGGTGTTGCCATCGGCTCCCGAGCTCATCTCGTCGGCAGCGAAGCCGTTGTTCAGCGCTCCAAACTCCGCAACTTCTTGATGCACTCGTTCCACATCCTCCTTCGCATCATGACGCCTCCGGCCACCGCACGCATCAAGGACACGCAGTGCGGCTTCAAGTTGTTTTCACGACCAGCACTTCCCTATATTGTCCCCTACATGCACTCGGAAGGCTGGATCTTCGACGTCGAGATGCTGATGCTGGCCGAGAGCGCTGACATTGCCATGATTGAGGTGGCCATCGGGTGGAAGGAGGTCATGGGTAGTAAGCTAAATGTTGTATGGGATAGTATTGGCATGGCATGGGGTCTAGCGCTGTTGAGAGCTTGTTGGATAGCAGGTATTTATCAGAGGGATTAGGGTTTGTGTATATAGAATAAAGCCGCGTTACCCGCCTGTGACTGCCCTCGCATTCACTATTCTTTGATGTAATGAACTGAACGCACTTTTGTTGAAACTCACATGCTGCATTGTTTCACGTGGCTGGCCCCCACTTGCACTCTCGTTTCTTGGCCACAAAGAACAGCAACACCACATGTTTCCATGACAGACGTTGTGAGACGTAGCTTCCTTGAAACCGAACTCCTGTCTGCCACCGAGGCATTCCAAGGCTGTAATCTCCCCACGTGCCCCATTACTCGGACACTGGGCTAGAGGTTCTCGACACGGTGACAATCTCGACAGCCTATCGGAAGACCTGAAGTACTAGTCCATTCGCATAAAGGGCTAGGTATCGTTGCTCGATTGAGCATATGATGCTATTCTCGTCTCTGCTCTTATCACTGTGGGATATTCGTCGCCAAATAGATCTCTACACTATAGAAGTGAAGGTGACCTCAAAGTGCTAGCACATCCTGCATGCATAGACACCATAAATGTTGTGACGCACCCTTCGGTTACTCAAAACTCGCGACCCATCCATCACCGACTCTCTCCCCTTTCGCATCTACACCACCCCAGAAGACTATGCTGCTGCCCTTCTCCATGACGTCCGATCCAAACAGAGCCCTTGGGCCGGGATGCAGTTTGCCATCTTCCTCTTCCAGTTGTTTCTCCGAAGGGGTCTGTACTACCGCCTCCGCCCACGACAAGTGACCAGTATCAGCCCCCAGCGCAGATCGGATAGCATCTTTGATCTTCGCAGGGTTGATGGCGTTCTTGAGCGTCATTGATGGCTTCGCCTCCAAATCG